CTCTGTGGAAAGATGCTGGGCTCAGGCTTATGTGATGATGTCCTGAAAACCGTTGGCCTTATGGGGCTGGAGCTGTGAAGAGAGCTCATCTGTGGGGAGGTGCTAGGGGAAGCTGCTAAAGGAGTGGAGAAGATCCTCGAGGGATTCTCTAGGGAGGCTAGAGGCAGCATCTTAAGAGGTCTGGGAGAGGGTGATTAGCCCTACAAAGAAACCAAGAAGCATCCACTGGGGAGTGGTAGGTTGAGAACCAGGAGAACGTGGTGTCTATAAGGCCAAAGGAAGAAGAGATGGTCAGGGATGTCTGATGCTGCAGAGGGGCCATGGAGAATGGGGACTGAGAAAAAAGTCAGTTTATGGGGATTCGGAAAAGTATGGAGATCCGCCTATAACTTGATGCAGAGGGAAGTGAGGAGAACTAGGGGAGCGGTGTGATAGCTTAACACAATACCGATCATCAGAGAGGTCTGAAAGACCTCAGAGCTGTGACTAAGGCAAGGATCGATTCTGAACCAGGTATGGTTTCCTGGACGTGGCTTCCGGATGTGGCCAACGTGTTTACTTGTTTTTTCTGACGGTAGTTATTTTGTGAAATTGTGGGACAGGAGGGGAGCTATGTTAATCATAGATAGCGAGAAAATTATATTTTATTTATTGAAATAAAAGAATTTAACTGTAAATTATGAGGAATCAAGTTTAAGAGGTGGTATTCATTATCAGGTTTTCAATAAAACACTTGTTTTTTCTACAAAGAAGAGACCATATGGATCCGTTTTCCTGATTTTTAACAGTCTCTTCTGCTTTTCCCTTTTTTTTTTCTCTTGTATAATAGTATTTGTTGGGGAATAGTTATCTGGGACGCGAGAGGGGAAGAGGCATTGGGAGCAAGATTGGTGCTGTAAAAGCACAAAGAACCACTTCAATTTATTATTTTTTAAAGATCGGGCCATTAGCTTTGGTGATTAGCAGGTCATCAGGGACTTCAAAGAGAGCAGTTTCTGTAGAGCTTTGGGGGAGGAACCTAGAGGAGAGATGGGGCTGAGCAAATGAAAACATTGGGGGAAGCCAACCTTTCGGGAGAGTTTAAAAATGAAAGGGAAGAGGGATGTGGGATGGTAGAAGCGTCAAGGAAGGAGTGTCTAGGGCATCTCCAGTTGATACAGTTTTAGATAGTCTTTGCTTTAAGAAATATCCAGCTAATGTTTGTCTATAAGGTGTCTACTTCACAAATACATTTGGCTGAATTCAGGTTAAAGTCTCATTCAAAGCCCTTTTGATTTGAAAGTTTCCTGGCGTGCCCAGACAGAGGAACCACGGAAGCGAATGTGTTGCTGATAGCATCAGGGTGACATGAAGGAAGCAGCTTGTGAATAGGATAACCTTCTGCTGTGGACATTGACTGAACTGGGTGTCTGTCCCATGTTCCTGGACTCTCAGCATCTTGGGGCTAATTATATATCAATAAAGTCTTTCCTCATGACTTCCACTTACAGAAATCCTGGTCCAATTTGGCACCATTACTGTGGATATATCCAGGGGTGTGCTGGAGCGCATTTTAAATTTTCATTTGAATATTGCTACCTTGGAAATTGGCAAACACTACAAACCAGGGCACTCACTATTTCTTGCTTTTTTCAGGGTCGAGACTAAAGAGAGTAAAGGAAAATATGTTAGTAATACAGGTTAAACCTAAAACTGGGTTCTGTGCACATCTCCCCCACACACCTGGAGAGCTGGTTGTTAAATATTTACCACCATAACCCTGGAGTTATGGGAGTATGTGGGAGCTGGTCGTTTATAGGATCATATTTGTTGTTGAATCCTTTCAGTCGCGTCCGACTCTCCGTGAGCCCACCTGGGGTTTACTTGGCAGAGATACTGGAATGGTTTGCCATTTTCTTCTCCAGCTCATTTTACAGATGAGGAACCTAAGGTAAACAGGGTTAAGGGACTTGCCCAGGGTCCCGCTGCCAGTAGGTGCCTGAGGCTGGATTTGAACCAAGGAAGATGTCTCTTCCTGACTCCAGACTCAACACTCTTATCTACCACAACCCTACCTGGCTTCCCACAGGGCCACATAAGTCCCTGAAAAATGCTAGAGACTCACCAGAGAGGGAAGGAGAAGAGTTTTGACTGGTTACAGGCTGAGAGGTGAGTCTTCTATGTTTTTTGTGGGGTCAAATAAAATCCGTCCTATGCTCGATGTATCCGTAGCCTCAGTACTTGCAAGGGACCAGAGGGTTCTTTCTGTGTCCTTCAGTGACCCAGGCATGACTCAAACACTGATGTTTCCACAGAGAAGCCAAACAAAGCGGGATGAGTGAGAAGCCCCTCTAGAGGGAATGCTGTCCCTGTTAAGCCAGACTTTCAGTTCAGGGCCACGTGTTGAAATCTCTGTGATCCAAAACGTACTTCTTTCCTCCAGGGTGAAGAAGGAACTCCCCTGTTTAGCTTTGAAAGCCCTTCACAAAGTGGCCCCAACCTGCCTCTGCAGCTCCATTGGACATCCCTTCCCTTCCTGCACCCTTTCTTCCACCAAACTGGCTCCCTCTGTGTTCCTCACTCACAACACCCCATCTCCCACCTCCATGCCTTTGCACTGGCTGTCCCCCATGCCTGCAATGCCCTCCCCATGAAGCCTTTCCTGATTCCCACCCCCCACCTGCGAGTGCCCCTTTCCCCAACTACTGTATATGTATGTATGTATATTTATGTATTTATACTCTTTGTAGTTATACTGTGGATAGTATTATTATTATTATTATTAAGTATTTTCTCATCCCTATTGGAATGTCATCTCCCTGTGAGTAGGGATTGTGTCCTCTGCAATACCAGAGCTCAGCACAGTGCCTGGAACACAGTAGGTGCTTCATGAGGACTTGCTGATTGATGATAGAAAAGAAGACAGACTTAATTGATTACCAAAGAGAAGATACGACTATAAAGTTGTGTCATTTAAAAGAGTAAAATTGTGTTCAGAAGCGATGGCATTTTATAGCCAGAAGGGCTCCTTTCGTAGGCTAAGGCTCTCATTTGAAAGGTGAGGAAACTGAGGCTCATTAAAACATTTACAAGGTCAATGTGCTGCCCAATGTCACCCAACCGTTGGGGACAGAAAGGGGCCAAACACCCAGGCGTGTGTTCATGCTCCCAAGAGAGTAACTACCAGTTGTGCCCCTGTTACCTGGACAGGAGGAGGCTCCCAAAGTGGCCTCCCTCCCTTCCCCCAGAGGAGGAGTGCAGGGAGGAATGTTTGTCTTCATTTCTCTTTGCCAGAGCATCCCCACGGGAGAATGGGAGGGCCTTTGGGGGGGGCATCCTGTGTCCCTTCTGTATGGGGATCTTGGTCCCTAGTTCAGTGTGTGGCAGCCTGGCAGCACTGAGGGAGAGCTTGTTAATAAGTACATAGATGGGAGAGCATCTAGCAAGGGGCTGTGCCACTGAGTGGAGGAGGTGGCTTCTGTGCAAACAGGCGAGGGCTCCTTCATCCCAGTCCAATTTCTCTCCCTTTTTTTTAAAGAAAATTTTTCCAATCTCGCTTTTAAAGGGCGAGTGAGCCCTGTGGCCCTCACCTCTGGCCCACAGCTGAGGCTGCAGCTACATGTATTCAGTGTGAAGGGGATTCCCAGTTTGGAGGAGTGGAGAGGCAGGCATCATCAATTCTCTAACAGGCTCTGTGTGTGTGTGTCTCTCTGTCTGTCTGTCTCTCCCTCTTTGTCTGTCTCTGTCTCTCTCTCTGTCCCTGTCTCTGCCTCTCTGTCGCTGTCCCTCTCGTTACTAAAAATGTATTCCAGTCTTGTCTCTGCATAATTGCCTGCATGACCATAGGTCATCATTTGACCTCTCTAGACCTCACTTTCCTGCTCTGTAAAATGAAGGGGTTTAAAAGATGACAATTAGGTCTGGTCAAGTTCTTCATCAGGTGTTTCCAAAATTATTTGGCTTACTGCCCCCTTTTCAAAAAAAAAAGCTCAGCGCCCCCCTGGAAATCTATTTTCCTTAACCTGTACATTATTTTAAAAAATTTGCATCATTTCAAAAAAATATAAAAAATTTTTCTAAAAACATGATGCATTGTAAATTTAATAATTCATTTTAAATTCATGGTTTTTTCCCTGCATTGAAATTTTGGTGATGCATATTGTGCCATATAACCATATAGTATGTTGTAAACAAGTCATTGAATACACATATTCCTGAGATGCCTGCTGGACTTCCTCACTTTGTTCAACATCCTTGCCTGCCAACACTTGCGTTCAAATCTGGGCTCAGACACATAACACTCACTAGCTGTGTGACTCTGGGCAAGTCACTTAACCCCAATTACCTCATAAAAAAACAAAAAGAAAACAATTTACTTGTCTTCTTTCTTTATGTTTCCACTCCCCCCTTATTTTTATTCAGTGCCCCGCAATTGCATCCTATTCTACTACCATCCCCCTGGATCGTTCCAGAGCCCCCCAGGAGGCAGTATCACCCGCTTTGGGAGCTAGATCTATGATCTTATGCATGACCATGAGCAAGCCCCTTCCCCTCCATGGGCCTCAATTTCCTCCCCTGTAAAAGGAGGAGGTTTTCCTAGATGACTTTGTGAGGCCCCTTCCAGCCTAACTCCATCTTGCCCCTGCTGGGGGCAGAGCAGCACCTCTGCCCCTCTCTGCTCCTCCCCCTCTGCTCCTCTCCCTCCCTGTGGGTGCCCCTCTGACCCTCCCCTCCCCCTCTCTCCACCCCTTCCTGTGCCCTCTCCTGCATCCCCTAGGGGGCAGAGCAGCACCTCAGGCCCTCTCTGCTCCTCCCCCTCTGCTCCTCTCCCTCCCTGTGGGTGACCCTCTGGCCCTCCCCTCCCCCTCTCTCCGCCCCTTCCTGTGCCCTCTCCTGCATCCCCTAGGGGGCAGAGCAGCACCTCTGGGCCTCTCTGCTCCACCCCCTGTGCTCCTCTCCCTCCCTGTGGGTGACCCTCTGACCCTCCCCTCCCCCTCTCTCCGCCCCTTCCTGTGCCTTCGCCTGCATCCCTTTATCCCTAGGGGGCAGAGCAGGCTCCTCCCTTTCTGTCCTTGGGAGACCTGGAGGCAGGGTGTGTCTGAGGGTCTCCTGAGAGAGGTAGGCCTCATTTCTGATCCTTCTCCATCCTCTAAGTGGGAGGGCAAGGGTCTGGGGTGTGGGGGGGCAGGGCCCCAGAAGGAGCTTCTGGAGGCACTGAAGCCACTATGGCTGCGTTTCCTCAGGGGTCTGAGTGCGAGGTGCTGCCTCGGGCCTCCTAGGCCTGCTGAGGCCTTTACCCCGTGGCCCTGGGGGCCTTTGACCAATCAGAAATGGGGAGGGGTGGTTTCTGCAGGGTATTTGATATGTTCGATATGATATAATAACTAATATAATATTTGATGAGGGAATTTTGAGCTTAGCTGATTCATGGAGACTAAGTGAAGAAGGTGTTAGTTAATGAAGAGCCTGGTTTTTATCCCAGAGCTGGTGAAGGTAAGAATTAAATAGGTCAAGTGGCAGGCCAGATGGTGACCTGGAGGACAGGTGGGTCTTCTGGATGACCCCCCCACAATGGCCACACCACCAGGCCTCCCCCCACCCCAAGTATCCAGGAGAGGGCCCATCCTTCCAGGCCAGACTTGGCCATTTAAAACAATTTAAACACTCCCTGGCAGAGATTTCTCCTTGTCCTCCTTGCCTCTGCCGCCTCCCTCAGTCATTGCCCACGTGGCATCTTCCTTAGGACCCAGGGGATGAGCGGGCAGAGGCTTCCGGCCCTGAAGGAGGGCCATCGCTTGGGTACAGGTGACTGGGGGGGATGCCTGGGCCTACAAAGAGGGGGCTGCCTGGACACAGAAAGGAAAGCTGCACTGACTTGCAGGAAACGTCACCCTAACAATCAAGCCTGCCTGCTTGCTCCCAGTTTTTCCCTCCTGTATTTGTGTTTCTGAATCAAACTTCTGTTTGGTACCTAGGCCCTGGTGAAAACCCATTCCTCTTCCCACCCAAAGAGGCCTCTTTCTGGATCATCGCCCGCACATCAAGTGGCTGCCCCTTCTGTGAGCCTAACAGTGCAGAACCAGCACCCCAGGGACTCGTGACTGCCCTCTGTAAGTTGGGGATGAGACACCACCCTTCCCTCTCCTTGACCCCTAACTTCTCACTACGAAAACCCCAATGATTTCTTAGTGGAAAAGGAAGCACTTGGCTCAGGGCAATGCTCTCCTCTCATGTTCTGCCCATGTTTATAGAGATGGGTTGGCATGCACATATATGTACACAGTCTTCTTTCTGGTTCTGTCCCTTCTGCTTGTCCCCAAATCCCCAGGTCTCCCTTCTGCTACAAAGTTTTCCCTTGCTCACTGCATCCTCCCAAGCTATTGTCCTATTTTCTCCTGCCTCTTGGCTAAACTTTAGTCAACAGGTGTCTCCCCTGGCTTCCCCCCCCCCCCCCCCCCCCCCCCGCCTCCCCCACTGCTTCCTCAATCCTCACTTCCCTGGCCCGTCTCTAGGTGAACAGCTCAGATGAGATCTCAGATCCAGCCCATTCTGGTTCATTCAAAGGGCACAAAGCATCCCTTCTAAGAGCTCCATCTTCCCATCTTTAGAAAGGCTCTTAAGAGGAGTGTGGAAGCCTCCCAAAGATAAGGATAGGGACTAGGGTGAAGAAGAAGGAACAGGAGCTCTGGTAACAGAGTCTTTGACCAAATCGGGAAAATGACCTGGGCTCAGGAGATGACCTCAGTCCAACAGCCTGGTGAGCCTCCCTCCCTCCTTTGCCCCAGAGAAAGTAGGTCCAGTTCTGAGCTGAAGTGGTGGACAGAATGCTTCTTTGAAAAGAGCACCGATGGAGGGGAGTGCATAGGCCACAGAGCCGGGCTGCCAGAAGTCCCAGGGCAGTGAGCCAGAGCAGGCTTGGAATGGGCTTCAGGAGCAGGAGGGACGACTGGGAAGGAAGGAGGCTGGGTGGCCTGGCTGTTAACACCCAGGGCTGTGAGATTGGATGACCCAGACTGGGGAGCCAGGACAATGGGAGGATGGGCAGACCCAAACTGAGCAAGAGGGTAGTCCCCAGAGGTGGGGGGGGGGCAGTTTTAAAAGCACAGGGAGGTTGAGCAGCTAGGTGGCTCAGTGGATAGAGCACCGGCCTTGAAGTCAGGAGGACCTGAATTCAAATGCGGCCTCAGACCAAACACTTGACACTTACTAGCTGTGTCACCCTGGGCAAGTCACTTAACCCCAATTGCCTAAAATTTTTTTTAAAAAAGCAGAGGGAGGGGAGGTGGTGGCCACACTACCACCAACTCGGGGGAGGGGGGGCTGCTTTGGCTGGGGGCCAGGTGGTCTGGCTTTCTGGAGCAGGCACCCAGCAAGGCCAGCAGCACCTTCTGCTCCAGGACATCTCTCCCATGTTTTGTGCTCTTCTCCCAAGGTCCAGGTGGAGCCACTTAGAGGAGAGCCCTTCAGGCAGCAAGGCCCAAATGGAGCAGAGTGGAAGATCTGCCAGAATGAGTGCAAAGGTCAAAGGCGAAGGAGGAAAGTCCAGTGCCAATCAAGAGGTAGCTGTTGCAGGGGCTGGGCCTCCTTTCAAACTTCATCAGATGGGAGAGAAGCAAATTGAAACAGTGGTACAGCAATTAATAGCCTTAAATATTCAGAAGAGTATCCCCCCAGGGAGCAGAGGCCAAACCTGAAGGCAGGGAGGAAACAGCAGCTCAGGCAGCTGGTGGGAGCCCTAGCTCACCCACTGCCCAGGGGCCTGACCTGTCTAGAAGGGATGGCAGAGGGAGGAAAGACAGGAGGAAATATGACTGGAAAGGCAGGCTCCTTAGTAATGGTATAGACCTGTGTGACTGCCTCAAGGTGGAATGCCCTGGCTGCTTCTACCCCTGCCCCAAGTGCAACTCCAAGAAATGTGCGGTCAAGTGTCGCTGCAACCGGCGCTGGGTCTACAGGAAGGCCAAAAATGAGGCTGGTGACATACTCAACACATTTCCATTTGCCTATCCCGACTAAGGGCGGCCCGGCGCCCACTTGGCAACACTCGCTTCCCTCTTCTTTGGGGGGGGCCCAAGTGGCTGCTTTCTTGGTGACTTGTAGGGCAGAACTGGGCAAAGAGCTGGCCTGGCCCTAGTGAGCAGTGAGCCTTCCAGTGCCGGGCACCAACAACTGCCCCCTGCCCAGGGCCACCCTCACAAAGCTCACCTTCCATCATTTTCGGCCTTCCTGCCCTCTCCTACTCCCCGGAGCCAGTTCAGTTCCTAACTGAAGCTGCCTCTGTTTCTTGTTGCACTTAGGGCCTGAAGGTTAACAAAAACACAGACAGACCAACAAACAAAACCCAACCTGGCTGTTTATCTTCTGTCAAGTTGTAGCACTTTGGAATCTTTCTGTCTCTTTTCTCCCATGTGCTTAATCTTTCCTGTTGAGTTCTAGTTGATAAATTGTTCAGCTGTTGAGATGTTTCGGAGATGAAATGGATAAGCATTGTTTAAGCAATAGCATTTAAAGAATGCAATAAAAGCCATTTACAAATCCAAAGCTGGTTTTTAATCTCAAAGAATCCCCTTTGATTGAGAATCCAAGCAGAGCCATATGCAAGGGGTATACCTGAGTGGGCAGGCAGGCCCTCCCCACCGAGAGGGTGAAGGCAAGAAAGATCCACACCTGGGTGGACAGGCAGGCCCTCCCCACCGAGAGGGTGAAGGTAAGAAAGATCCACACCTGGGTGGACAGGCAGGCCCCCCCACTGAGAGGGTGAAGGCAAGAAAGATCCACACCTGGGTGGACAGGCAGGCCCTCCCCACCAAGAGGGTGAAGGTAAGAAAGATCCACACCTGGGTGGACAGGCAGGCCCTCCCCTCCCAGAGGGTGAAGGCAAGAAAGATCCACACCTGGGTGGGCAGGCAGGCCCTCCCCTCCCAGAGGGTGAGGGTAAGAAAGATCCACACCTGGGTGGACAGGCAGGCCCTCCCCATCCAGGGGGCAGCGTGAAACTTGGCCATCCAGCCTGAACAAGGGGCAGGAAGGACTTGCCACCACCAGGAGGACTCTTCCCATTCAAGCTTTGCCTCCCAAGGAGGGGCTCCAGGGCTGTACCATGTTTTCCCTTAATTCCTAGTCGAGGCCCAGGGGAGGGATGGAAATGAAGTTTTTGGTGGTTAGCGAGTTCACCTGCCTTCATGGGGACTAGTTAGTTCTTTGGTACCCTTCCCTTCCTCTCCTGTCTAGTGTCTGCCAGCATCATCAGTAGTGACTTTAAAGGGGCCTTCTGACACACAAAGCCTCCTGAAGGAGAACCCTCCACCCTTGGCCCATCCTGGCCTTTCATCTTGTGCCATCTGCATTCCTGGCCACCTCGTGACACTCCCCCAGATATACTCAGGGGTGTGTCTCATTTCATTGGGCCTATTTTCCTTGACCATCTTGGGTTCCCAGGTCAAGTTTTAGGCCAGAATCACCAATCCAACATGGTATGTCCCCTGCACAATCCAATGGGAACCACAGATAGGCCTTAGCCCCCTAAGTCAGGACACCCCTTTCCAGGAAGAAAATAATACAGAAGATGAAGGGTGTCAGGAAAACCCCGCTGCTATTTCTGAGACTGTTCCTCTATTCCCGTCCCCTGTTCTTATATACTTCCCTGGAGCCCATTCCATAATCAGATGTTCCTCTCAGAGCATGAGCCTTTCAGGAAATCAGCCAGCTGACAAGTACCCCTGGTTGGGAGGGGGAGAGAGTGGGATCATTCATCGGCACCCATAACCCAGTAATAATCCATGGGCCCAGGCTGTTCTTTTTTAGTGAAACAACTAAAAGAAAAGTGCGGGCCCAGCGTATGGGACCAAGATCCCACTCCAAGTAAGGGAATGAACCGGATGAAAAGATAGTTCCTAATGGATTTTAACGTGTTGGCATGTTAATAAAAAAAAGAAATATATCAATGTGTGGTTTTCTATGTTGATATGAGGCCCACTGCGATCCTTAGGTTCTGGTTAGTGCCCTTATTTCTATTCAAATTCAACACAACTGCCCAAGGGGACACAGTTCATTAAAAGCAAAGGTATTTAATGAACTATCAGAGAAAGACAAGTAGTAACAAATCCTTTCCCCCACCTTCTCATTGGACTCCTCTTCCTGGGCTAAGAGTTTAGGGTCCTCTGTCAGAAACCTGAATGTAGTCTATGGGGAGCATTCTAAATACTCCCCAATTTCAATATATGAAGGCTCGACTGGGGGGGCAGGGTTTGCTGGTAAATATTTAATAATTGGCTCTAAGGGCTGTGAAAACTACTAATACACTTTCAGGTTTAATCTGCATTATCAACGTTCTCTGTCACTTTCTTAAGTCCAGATAATCAAAAACAATAAATCAAGTCTTCATTTGTAGTGCTTGCCTATTTCCTAGGGCTCAGTAGATAGAACACAGGTCAGGAAGACCTGAGTTCAAATCCAGCCTCAGTTTCCTCATCTATAAAATGAGCTGGAGAAGGAAATGGCAAATCCCTCCAGCATGTTTGCCAAGAAAACCCCAAATGGGCTCACGGAGAGTCAGGCATGACTGAAAAAATGACTGTAGAACAACAAAGCCTATTTCCAGGTGTAAATGTTCACACTGAAAATTTAACAATTAGCTCGCCAGCCTTGGAACTCAGGTGATGGCTATTTGCCTAATAACTACCAAACGTCTCTGGAGCTCAGGTTCCCTACTCTTCAAAACCTACGCCTCTCATTCTTTCGTGTCGTTGAGTGAGTAGAGGAATGGCACAGGGTCAAACCAAGGCCAGAAAGCAAGGCTTTCCCACAGGCCTTCAGGGCCTCCCTAACCTTTTCATATCCAGGCACAGCCAGCCCAAGGCTTCGGGGGTCTTTGAGGCATACCCTTATAGAATTGGGTTTCTTTGGATCACTGCTCCTTTTTCTGTTCTTAAAACCTAGGTATGAGCTGAGGGGAGGGTTGTTCATTCTTCATTCTAGAAGTGGACCAATGACATCATGGAGTGGGGTCTTGTCTTGCCTGTGAATTGGATTCAAGTGAGGCAGGACTGTGCAAAGTCTTCAGCTTCACTCTCTCCAAAGTCATCAGAGTCCAGTGGCAAGACATAAGTCAAGGCAGCTGGTGATGGTTTAGGATGCAATGGGTGACCTTGGCCTTCCTAAATGAAGGTCTCTCCCAGGCCTCAGTGTCTCTGAGACAATTCTAATGGATAGAACAGAGCAGGGATCACAGTAGGGAGTCTTCTGCCTACAGAAGGCATGATTTCTGGAAGGTAACCATGAAGGCGGATGTACTATGGGGAGGCCTTAGCCTTGCTTGCTGGTCCAGGCTCCTTGGGGAGACCCTCCTGGTTCTATCTTTGTGGAGGGCTTGCCTGAGCCTGGGGTTGGGGGACCCTGGCCAAGGGGGTAGAGTGGGGAGGACTGAGCAGTTCTGAGGAATTCTCGCAGCTTTCAGTGTCTGCCTTGGGCCAGCTTTCATAGGGGGTGGAAGTGGGAGGACCGTGGCTGCTGTTCTTTTCAATTGGATTGCAACTAGATGAGCCTAAGGTCTCCTGGACTTTGGTCAGACAAGGAGATGGGGAAAAGGCCTAGCCAGAAGAGGGCCCCGCTGCTCTGGGAGGATGCGTGCCCTCTGCCATCTTACAGGAATTCTGTATGCCAACTTCTGCCAAGGTGAGTGAGGTGATCGATCGGTCTTTCCACCACTTGAGATATGCTCAGTAGTAAAATACCAGATTTCTCTCACTATGAAAAGAACACCACACACACACACACACACCCCACACTTAGATGTTCTTGGTTCCACTTTTATTCAGTAATACAAGGGTACACATTCCCCAGCCGTCTGATCCTCATAAGAGTAAGTTGTGACTGCCTTTTGCTCCGGTTCCCCACAGGACACATTTTGGGGGAGCACTAATATGTGGCACCACATCAGTGGACAGAGAGACCACACAAGAAGCAAGCGTCTATCTCTCTTATGTCTGACTCCCTGCTCAGGAGTTTTCCCTAAACCTCCCTTCTCCGTTTCTTGGGAACTGCTAGCATCTTAGTAGGTGCTGAGACAAGGTATTGACAACTTAACTTCCAATCCTGCTCAGACACTAGCTGTGTCACCCTGGGTAAGTCACTGAGCCTTTTTCATTCTCTGTCTCCTTATCAAATGGGGATAAGAATGGCACCTACCTCACAGGGCTGTTGAAAATATCAAATGAGATTAGATATGTAGAGCACTTTGCTAAATCTTAAAGTGTTGTGTAAATGCTAGCTATTGTCATTATCATCATTTTTATTATTGTTGTCTTCATTCCCCACCTCTAGCCCTTTACTCTCAGACGTTCCAGTCTTTTCATTGGTCATAGCTTTGCTTTGGGATGGTCCCTTTGAGTATAGCCTAGGTCTTGGCAAAATGGGGAGGGGAAACAGGGTATGCTGCCGGAGTGATCGAACTCAGGACCTGATTTATTATTTTGTTAATTGTCTAGACTTAAGTGATGGCGAAAATGTTAATGATGTAAATTTAACCTAAAAATGTATTGAGAATTTTCAGAGAGCTGGTTGTTAACCTTTATATCAGATGACCCTTAAATTCAGGCATTTGTGAATTATGGCAACTTTTAAAGGAATTCTCCATTCTTCCCACTTTAACAAAAATTTGCCAGGGATGTTTCACCTTTGAGTACCAATAGGTGCTAAGATGTTAAATGCAGAACATGAGATTTCGACCTTTTGTGAAAAAAAAAATCCGCATCCTGCATTTTAGATACAAGCCTGACAGAAGCAAATTTTATTAATTAAAATAAGAAGCCTTGTAAATCTACTGTGTTGCTGGGATGTCATTAATGAAGTAAGTACTATTAATCAAAACTATGTGGCATTTTCTATGATCCTACATAGCTTTATCATTTCCAAAAGTTTATCTCTTTCGCAAATAATGTCACCTTCCATTTGAAGTTGGCTTTTTAGGCTAATGTGAAATTTTTGAAATCATCTTGTTCCTTGCTAGTTTTGAGTTGAGCCAGTTAGAAGACACATAGAGTTGTTTTCATCCTTTTCAAGGCTGCTGAAGTCACTATATTTTTACCCAACACATCAAGCCAGCCAGCATCAAATAAAACCAAAGGCAAATCTTTCTATTTCAAAGCAACAACCATGGCAATTAGGCTGAACTAGCTATATATGTTAACTGACGCCTCTCCCATCACCAACCTTAGAATCTAATTGACTATAAGGAAAAAAGTAATCTACTTATTAGATAACTTTTGTTAGATATGTTCAAAGGGTGTAATTTTAGGAAAAGACTTGGGGGGAAAAGGTGATGCTGAGATAGTTATGAAATAATTACATACAGACACACTCAGAATAGAAGTTTATCCTACAGTAGATTTATTCTTATTTC